TGATGCCACATTTTTCTTCATAGAACCCAGCTTCTCGTATTATTTGCTCAGCATACAGGTTGAACAAGTATGGTGAAAGAATACAACTTTGTTGCACACCTTTCTTAATTTTAAAACATTCAGTATACCCATGTTCTGCTTGAACAACTGCTTCTTGGTCCAGGTACAGATTTCTTAGAAGTACAATTAAGTGTTCTGGAATACTCATAGCTCGCAATGTTGTCCATAGCTTGTCATGATCCACACAATCGAAAGCCTTTGCCAAAGTTACAGAGCCAGAAAAATGACAGAGCCTGCCTGGCAGTACCTGTGCTCAGAACCATGGAGCTATCCTGACTCTCTGACTTGTATCTTTCTTTCCCACCCTGATCCTGGAGAGGTGTGACCCTTTTTGAGGAGAGATAGGGTATGTTTCTCACTGAAGGATCATCAACAATCAGCATTCTTATATTCAGTGTTGTCCTCATCACCATCGTTATCAACCTGTGTGCTTTTCTAAGCATATTGGACTCTTTTAAAATGTTTCCCTAAAAGAAATTAAATGTAAATTCTAGATAAAATGTTTTCAAGGTTTTTTTTTTTTTTTTCTGTTTTAATTTTAATGATTTGTGACATGTGTGAGAAAGAAGGACTATTGTAAAAATTCAATTTGGATTTAGATCAAGAGATAGTATTCAATTCCTACCTCTGTCCCTCAAGGAGCACTGGTAGTGTAGTGGATTATGATTGGGCTGCTAACGGCAAGGTCATTAGTTCAAATCTACCAGCTGTTCCATGGGAGAAAGATGAGGCTTTCTGCTCCTGCAAAGATTTACAGCTTTGGAAACCCTATACAGGGTTGCTATGAGTTGGAACTGACTCGGTGCCACACCCAGCACCACCATTACCTCTGCCACTCAATACTGTTACAACATTAGGCAAGTCTTCAAAACTTCCCAAACTCAGATTTCTTATTGGAAGGACTGTTGTTATTGTTAGATGCTGTCGAGGCAGTCCCAACTCATAGTGACCCTGTGTACAATAGAAGGAAACACTGCCCAGTTCTGCACCATCATCATAATCATTGCGATGTTCGAGCGCATTACAGCAAACACTTTGTCAATCCATCTCAATAAAGCTCTTCCTCTTTTTGCTGACCCTTTACTTTACCAAGCATGATGTTCTTCGGAGCTAGTCTTTCTGATAATGTGCCCAAATTATTTGAGATAATGTCTTGTCATTCTTGTTTCTAAGGAGCATTCTGACTGTACTTCTTCTAAGAAATATTTGTACATTCTTCTGGTAGAATAAGGTATATTCAACATCCTTTGCCAACACCATAATTCGAGTGTAGCAATTCGTTTTCCATTTTCTAACTCATTACCCAGCTTTTGCATACACATAAGGAGATATCATGGCTTGGGACAGGTGTACCTTAGTCTTGAGAGTGACACTTCTGCTTTTTAACACTTTTAGGGGGTCTTTTGCAGCAGATTTGCCCATGCAATATGTTGTTTGATTTCTTGACTGCTCCTTCTATGGGCATTGGTTGTGGATCCCAGTATAATGAAATCCCTTGACAACTTCAACCCTTTTCCCATTTATCATGATGGCACTTATTGGTCCAGTTATGAGGATTTTAGTTTTATGTTGAGATGTAATTCATATTGAAGGCTGTAGTCCTTGATCTTCATCAGTAACTGCTTCAAATTCTTTTCACCTTCAGTTGTGCCATCTGCATATGGTAAGCTGTTAATAAGCCTTTCTCTGATCCTGACACCATGTTCTTCATATCGTCCAGCTTCTTGGATTATTTGCTCAGCATACAGATTGAGTAGTATGGTGAAAGGATGCAACCCTGATGCACACCTTTTCTGAAATTTTGTGCCTCTTGGTCTATGCATGGGTTCAACATAAGCACAATAGTATTCTGGAAGTCCCTTCTTTGCAATTATCCACATAATTTTTTATGATCCATTGTCTAATGCCTTTGCATTGTCAATGAAACACAGTCTTTCTGGTATTCTCTGCTTTCAGCCAAGATCCATCTGACATCAGCAGTGATAATCCTCATTTCACATTGTTTCTGAATTAGGCTTGAATTTCTGGAAGTTCCCTGTCAATGCACTGCTGCACCTGATTTTGAATTATCTTGGCAAATTTTCACTTGCATGTGGTATAATGATATTGTTTGACAATTTCTTGATTCTGTTGGATCATCTTTCTTTAGACTAAGCACAGTATAGATCTCTTCCATTCAGATGCCCAGGTAACTATCTTGAAAATTTCTTGCATCTGTTTGTTGAAATATCTCAATTGGTATTCCATTAATTCTGGTTCCAAGGCTCTTCTTCTCACCTGCCCTCCCTTGATGACAAAGTTTCTGGTGCATTAATTATTCTTAACCTTTTTTGTACTTATAAAGTGCTTCCTTTGTTAAAAACAAATGAAAACTCTAACTTATTTCGTTGAGTCAATTCAGACCTGTAGTGAGTCTGATGTTGCTAAGTCCCTTCGAGTTTGTTCCAACCCATAGCGACCCTGTATAGAGTTTCCAAAGAGTGGCTGGTGAATTTGAACCACTGACCTTTCAGTTCAAATGGACCTTGCAGTCCAGTGCATTATCCCACAGCTCCACACCAGGACTCCGATGTGTGCCAAAATAGAACTGAACTCCACAGGGTTTTCAATTCCTGTAATCTTATGGAAGTAGATTCCCAGGTCTTTCTTCAGCAGCCTGCTCTGAGTAGATTAGAATACCCATCTTTGGGTTATTTGTTGAGTTCAAACCTTTAACACTAATCAGGAAAATGTTTTTATTTATACTATTTCACTTGATCCTCATAACAATTCTGTGAGGTAGGTAATGTTATCATCCCCAGATATGACAAAGCTTAGAGAGGGTAAGTAGTTGACTTTCTCAGTCACAGAACTGATAAATCTGAGTGCTAGGACTTGAATCCCAGTCTCTCCGCATCACACTGACTTACTTAGAGTCTGTGTGGCTGGTCTGTGGGGAAAGCTCCTTCCCAGAACTGAACTTGTAATGGGTTCTCCTTTGTTTTGTGTTTGCAGGTCCAAAAGCCAGGAATCGGTGTGCTTTCTGTGAGTAAAGGAGCAGAGATTGGGCTGGCCATGGCCTGCTACCTGAAACAGGTGTTAGCCACTGTATGCATCAATGGGCCCACTGCTGTCAGTGACATTCCACTCAGGTACAAGGATTTGGTTATGAAACCCATCAGCACAAGTATAGAACGCATCCAGATTCATGTCTCCGGGGCTATGCGTGCCATTGACTTTATGGGATTCCCGAAAGATGGGGTGGATACACACAGCATCCTTCCCATTGAAAAGGCTCAGGGTCAGATCCTCTTTATTGCCGGAGAGAACGATGAATGTGTCAATAGCAGAGCATTTGCCGAGAAGGCTGTGGACCAACTGCAGAGACATGGGAAAAGCAATGCAAGGATGCTGATGTATCCTGCAGCCGGCCACCTCATAGAGCCACCCTATGCTCCCCTGTGCTATGCTTCCTGGAGCCCTGGCTTTTCCTTGCCCTTACTCTGGGGTGGGGAACCTGTAGCTCACGCAGAAGCTCAAGAGCACTCCTGGAGAGAGATCCAGAAATTCTTCAGGCAACACCTCATTCCCGCCAGAAGCAAACTCTGAGCAAGGACTAAGATGACAATGGTAGACAATGGGGCTGCAGTAAAAAAGTACAAAAGAGGAAGAGGATAAGGCAGTGATAGGGTGGAGACTGGGTTTTCCTTGGCTTCTCAGGATTCAGTCATTTTGAATCTTATTATTGTATTCTGACTCCCGGCATCTCATGTAGGTAATAGAGTAGAACTGCTCCATAGGGTTTCAAAGCTGTGACCTTTTGGAAGCAGATACCAGACCTGTCTTTCAGGCGCCTCTTGGTGGGTTTAAACTGCCAGCCTTTCAGTAGTAGTCCAGGTTTAACCAGTGCCCTGCTCAGGTATTCCACTTTAAATCTGCTAGAAGACAATGAAACAAAGCAAAGGATCAAGGCATAAATATATGTGCTTTGATCTGTAATTGGATGTGTCTCCTCAAATCCCGTTCTCCTTTTATAGATAGACAATTTTTTCTTATTCTTCCTTTCACTTAATGCTTTTATCAACATATCCATGTTCTGTGCAGAAGAGTATCATTTGTATTTTTTAAAAAGGGGTGGGGTCCTTCTTATTGGGAATAGGATACCTGTTTATCCCAACAGTAGACAGATTTTACTTTTCAGGAATCTGATTTCAGCAAAATGAAACATATATTCTGATTATGTTGTTTTCATAGCCACCCAATCTTTGGATTTAATTATGAGTCAATAAATTTCTTTATTGCTTAATCCATTTACATTGGTCATGTCTATTATTTGCCACTGGTTGATCCATGTTCTCTTGTCCCATCGTAGCAGGCCACACCCTTCTGGATCTGGCCTGACACTGTGGAGGACAAATCGTAAATCCTAACTTTTTAAAAGAAAATTGAGAAATGTAGATAAAAAATTAATTCCCAGCTTGAATTACATGAGACATCTATTATAATTCTTAAATTTAATAAACCAAGCATAACCTGAAGACAATATATTTGAGCTATTGGTGATTGTATTACCTTTACTTTGAGGTGAGGGGGATAGTTGGAAGAAATGAAACTACCTGTGAATAGAGTCACTTCTTGATTGGAGATAATCTGAAGATAAACCAGCGATTTTGCAGAAAAGTAGACACAAAAATGCTAAAATGCTAATTGAGTGTTTATGGTATTCCAGGAACTCTTTAAAAGCTTTTCATGAGCGGTCTAATTTATTCTTTAATCAACTTTATGGAATAAATAGTCATTAAATATTCTCTCCATTTTACTTGTAAAGAAATTAAACCTTAGCTTATTTTACCTAAGCTCACACAAGGACAGGTGTTAGGACTGGAATTGATGAATTTACCTTGTCTTCCTCATGTAAGTATTCTTTCACCCACCTGGAAGCATAGCTGCCTAGATTGCATTGTTGTTGTTGTTAATTGCCGCTGTGTCAATTCTAACTCACGGCTACCCCTGTGTGCAGACTAGAACTGCTCCATAGGCTTTTCAAGGCTGTGACCTTGCAGAAGCAGATCACCAGACGCCTCGGGGTGGATTTTAATTGTCAACCTTTTGGCTGGTCATCAAGTGCTTAACTCATTTGCTACATCCAGGAACTCTTAGCTAAAAATAAAATAGGTTCACTTTTTATCCTGCTCCATTCAATCCATAAGAATTTGTCACAAAGAGACTGGTTATTTTTGACAGACTCGGAGCCTAATTTCAGGCCCTGGTTTCCTAATCTGAAATGCAGTGATTTCCATCCTGAGAATGCTGTCTGAGTGACTAGATGGAATCCTGAGACCACATCCTTTCTTACCTTGACATGCTCCCTCCTACTGGTGTGAAAAAATAACAAAGCTTTGAGAATACAGAAGGAGGGATTAAAAACAAATTCTGCCTCAGTATCTAGGACTTCACAGAGGATATGGCATTTGGACTGTGTCTCAAAGTGTAGGCTTTTTTTTTTTAAGTTCCTAGAGTAAAGATGCTGTGATGAGAAGGAATAAATTAGATGAGCAGATATTTGGTAATAAGCCCATGATAATGTGACATATCAGGATAATTTATACTTTAATGAGAGAGCTTTTCTGATAGAGTTAGACTCCAATTCCATTCCAATGAAATGAGATCAAAGTTATGGTGGAGAACTGGACCAGGTCCAACAAAATCAGTGATTGCAGTGATCAGTGGTAGGATAACAAATATCTAGTGGGTCTTGGTATGAATGATTTTACCAAATATATAGAATCTATTTTTAAGGTAGTTACCTAACCCAATCTCACTCCTTTCAAATGATGAATTAATTCATAACTGGTAACTATGTAGTTAATAAACCTCTAGCATGAGAGCACCTCACAGAAAAAGGTCAGTTGTGGCGAAGCTGCACCTGCCTGCCTTCATACTTGCCTCTGTGACTGCTGGAGAACAGAGCACAAGTGAAAAGAATGAGAAACTACACGGCCACATGGCTTCACTTTATGTAAAGGAGAATGAGAAGGAAACATAAATAGTTTGTGCAGGATTACGTATGACAGATCTATGTAACTTTGGGGAACTCAATTCTGGAACATTACAGAACAGTTCTTGAAAGTGTTAAAAAGCAAAAGTATCACTCTCAAGGACTAAGATGCACCTGTCCCAAGCCATGGTATCTCCTTATATGTATGCAAAAGCTGGGCAATGAGTAAGAAAATGGAAAATGAATTGCTACATTTGAATTATGGTATTGGCAAAGACTGTTGAATATACCTTGGACTACCAGAAAAATGTACAGATATTTCTTAGAAGAAGTACAGCAGAATGCTCCTTAGACACAAGAATGGCGAGACTTTGCAGCCTGACGCATTAGCCCACAGTGCCACACCAGGACTCCATGGTGGAATGGTAGCAGTTAATAATACTTTCTTCCTAGAGAATAGTTGCCCTATCCTAATTCCACTGTGTCACAGGATCCTTATGATAGATGGAAAGCTAGAAATAAAAAGAAATCGAGTTTGGATCTACACTCCAGTCAACTGGTTCTTAATAGGTCTGATTTTCATAGAAGCCCATGTAACTCCACACACACTTCTGACATTAGAAAGGACTCTTCCAAGAGAATCAGATTTTATACCACTCAAGGCTGATGCCTCTGTCCTCAGCTTGTCCTGTCAATTTTGGTAGCCTGTGTGCCACCAGCTATCAAAAGTTGTATTCTAAAGGCTTCCCATGAACCAAATAGACCTGTGTGAAGAATGGAATAGGGGGAGTGTGAAACTTTCCCTTCAAAAACATTCTTTATAAAAGAAAGATGAGCTTAATTTCCCGTTAACCTTAATAGAAGCTCCATCTAAAAATCTGTCTCAAATGCTTTGGAAGAGACAACAATTCTTTTCTTGGGATAACAATGTTTAATGTCATTACATAAAGATCATCTCTCGATTGAATTTTCCTATATTTTTTAAAATGTATGCGTCGGACTGTAAAGTCGTTTGAACTGCAAGGTCAGTGGTTCAAGCTCACCAGCTGCTTCTTGGGAACCCTATACAGGGTCGATATGGGTTGGAATAGACTCGATGGCATTTAACAACAACAACCTCCAAGATATCCAACATCCTTAAAGGTTCTGATAGTTGCATATGATAAGCAAAGCAAATTAACTTTTTAAAAACAAAAATACTACTACTGGCTCTTTTACTCTTTAAATCATCCTGAATCTACCCCTTCCCTCTCCTCCTAACAGTGCCTGTTTGCATTTTTTGATTCACTAGATCTAAATACAACTCTTCTACCCACTACAGCTTAATGGGGAATGCTTTACAACTTGCTAAGAAACACCCATGTGTCCATAACTTCCAGAGTAGCTCCCGTACTCTGTGGTTTCCTGTATCTAGATTCTCATCTTACAGCTACTTTCGATTCCCATTAAAATTCTTTGTTGTTGTTGTTAAGTGCCACTGAGTCGATTCTGACTTATAGCAACCCTGTATAGGGTTTCTGAGGAGCAGCTGGTGGGTTTGAACCACCAACCTTGTGGTTCACAGTCCAGTGTTTATTCTACAGTATCACACTTATAACCTCCTCAGTCAAATTAGGAAGCAGAAGGCTGGCATCCGTACACTCAAGAATCTTCCATGTGTCAGGTCATGTTCTGGTATAGTAACAAAGAGAAGCAAGATGTCATCCATGTCTTCAGGAGCTGACATTCTCCTGAGGTTGCCAGTGTCAATACGCTTTATTAGCCTTTCATTTGTTCCTTCCAACTTCCCTCTCACAATACATCAAACGGTGCAGGCTTCTCTGGGTTCTTCTTAAAGAGAAGAAGAAAAGCTCACAGCAGAATTTATTCTGAGATAACCACGTGGCCTGAACATGTGCATGTGGACAGAGGGTCTTAAGTTGAAGGCCCAAGTGGACAGCCCTTAAAAAGGGATTAAAAATGACAAACTTAAAAGATCTGTGTGAAGCCATTTGACCTAAATGGAAGGCAACACTAGAATTACCATGGCATAATGGAAAGGAATGAGACTGGCCCAGGAATCTCAGGAGTGTGAGTCCAGAGATTCTTCTTGGTTCCGTATGCTTTACGGAGTATCCTGTGCAGCGTGGCTCAGTCTCACACCACCACCCCTCTCAGTCCATGGTGGGGAGACTGGGGTCTATGGCAACACTGTACATAAGGCCTTCCAAAATTGAAACCAGAAGGAAGAGAGGAATAGCATGACTCACTTAGTCACAATTTATTGATGTTAAGTGCTGTCGAGTTGGTTCCAACTCATAGTGACCCTGGATAGGGTTTCTAAGAGTGACTAGTGGATTTGAACTGCCAATAGCAGTCCACTGCTTATCCTACAGTGTGCCACGGCAAGATATACCATTTGGGGGTTGAACTTTTCACTATGATGAGAAATGGGGAAAAGATGCAAAACTGATTTACTGGCAGCATGTTCAGAATGACTTATGAACAAAGCAATAAAATTGGGTCATAGTTTCCTTTTTGGTAACATTCAGAGTCCTGATGTGGCACCATAGGATAAGCACTCAACCTCAAGGTTGGCTTGAACCACAAGGTCAGTGGTTCAAACTTACCA